ATTGGTGGATTGGTGGATTGGTGGATTGGTGGATTGGTGGATTTGGAAATTTGGGAATCCAAAATTTGCAAATCTAAGAATTTGGAAATTTAGGAATTTGGGAATCTTGGAATTTGAAAATCTATGAATTTGTCAATCTAAAATTTGATAATCTAAGAACCTGGGAATTTACATTAAATTACAATATAAATTTAGTGTATTTGTATTAGCTCGTAATTGAAAATTCTTACCATTTGTTTTCACATAAGAAAGCAATTCTTTGTCCAATTTTTTCTTTGTTCGTTTTCTTCTTTGTTCATACAAGAAATAACATTTACGTTCCGCTTAAGAATTTTTCAATTGTCGATTAATGTCTGAATAGGCAGGAAATTCTGCGTGTCGAAATGTATGCATTACTGTGTAATTCGCACGCATCACGCGACACGCGGAATCGGATTTCTCACACCCTCAGCAACTGCGGACGAGCATGCTCGGCCTTGAAATAGATTACATCTTGCACGTTTCCCTCGCGTTCTTGCGAATAAACGAGACTCCCCGTACGTTGAAAGCTTGTAAGATTATGGAAATATTGCATAAATTTGTCAAATCTCCCTTTTTTTCCCTCTTGTACCGACCGACCTTTTTTCTGTCTCGTTGACATAAAGATACTGGGGGAGCTAATTTTCTTCTTAATTCATACTAAATTAAGAAGATAAAAATTTACTATTTATTGTGTCATAAATAAACTATTGTCAAATGCTGACTTTTGTTCAGAATTTCAATTCATATGAATAATTGTAATACTTTGCATGTACTAATAATTTTTGCTCATTTGTTAAGATTGTTATAAAAATAAGTTTCAGCTTAATAAGAATATTAACCTACAAGTTATATGATTTTTATTATTTAAAAATATTTCTGAATTCACCAACATCGACTATAGAGATATAAAACAAAATAAAATACCGATAAAAGTAGACTTTGACTATCAATACCTAATTATGACATTAAATGTGACTCAATAAAAAGTCATAAAAAATAGTTACCTCTTAAGATTTCATGTTTAACAATGAATGTTTAAATCATTCTTAAACACTGAACATTTAAAATATTCTTAAACACTGAATCTTTAATTTAAGTTCAATTTAGTATTCATTTATTAAAAATAATTGTTTCTCTAACAGAAATATTTCTGCCATCGTTTACCGTTAAGGACGATTTCTCTGCTGCTCACGTTAAAGCTGTTTGCCTTCTGAAGTTCGCCGGAACGCACGATTAATTCACTTTATGGACACGTTTGGTCAATTAAAAACTTGCCCCGCGTAATCACGGAGTCGGTAACTGATCGTTTACGCGAGCAACGAGCATGCCCATAGCTCGGTTAACACGCGAAGCATAACGCAGTCGACACCTTACGCTTTTGCGTGCAATTTTCCTCCAAGTATTATTCCTCTGGTGAAATCCGTCGTCTTAGACTCTTGAAAGACTATCAAGATGTTTCCTGTCATCTTTCATAACTCGTTGCATTTGACAGGAATTGTTTATAATTTGCATCGCGAGTGAACATTCAGAGGATAAAACTTTGAGAGGATTTGATATGAAACGTTGATGATCTTCGTAATTTTACTGTCAAGTATTTAGTACGAGTCAAATGTTATTTATAATTGCATTTATTTCTTAAGCGAGGACTGGGAGTTGTATTTGGGTATTTAGAAATGTAGGAAGATAGAAAGATAGGAGATAGGAGTATAGGTACGTAGGATATTATAGATTTAGAGATACAAGATTGCAGAAATACAGAAATATGTATATATGTATATAGAGATGTAGGAACTTAGAGATGCGAATATTTAGGAATATAAGATTCCATTGACACAAAGATTTAGACATAAAGGATATGGGAATATATAAACCTAAGAATGCAAGGCTCAATTAAACTTCCTTAATTTCCAGAAACATACAAACAGTACAAATCACGTAGCACTAAGACTTAAGTATAATAGTGATCTACAGATCTAATAATATAAAAGTCAAAGAATGTAGGTGTACAAAGAAAATAATCAACAAAGGAGGTAGCAAAGTCTATCACGCGTTACAAAGCCTCTAGTAAGGCCATTTTCGCTTTCTCGATTTTCGGTGTCGCAACTGCACACGCGGACCCTGATGAGGCTCAATGAAAGAGGATCCAGGAGTAGTTGCAACGCGGCGTTACGAACCGGTGAGTTTGCTCAACGTCGCGAACAGAGAAGAAGAATCAACCGAGGAAGGAGAAAAAGAGAGGGGCTTCTGCTTATATGGTCAGTGATTACGAAGGGGCCAAGGGCCCGAGGGCCTTGGGACCGCTATTCTTAGAAGATGGGTCCTTCCACCTCTCTCTCCGCTTGCTTCTTTATCATCTTCTCTTTTTCTCTACCCTCCCACTCGTTCGTCTCTCTTCTTCTCTCTGTTCCTTTGCCGCTGAACATCGCTCGATTCTGACTCTTTTCGTCTTATATAAGGTGCCTCACGCAACTGGGCCAAGCTGCGAGGTTAAAACGGAAGAGGATGGAAATTGTAGCGAAATTAAATGGCGTAGGATGTAGTCTGCGATGTACATAAATATTTTGAAGATTTAAGTTTTTCGTTTTTGTGGATTAGTTACAACTTTTCTGTTTTACACTGCATTTTTATTTTTTAATACGTCATGACAAAATTTAAATTTCATACTTTTTCATGATTAAATAAGTCTGTAGGAATATTGTTTCTTTAAGAAGTATAGGATACAATTTATTGCAGGAAAATTTTTATTACGGAGAAATAAATAATTGTATATAAATTCTGAAATCATAAATAAATTCTAAATTAAAAAATCTAAAAATTTATCTATGATGAATAATTATAAACTACAACCTCTAAAAAATTGTCTATAATGAACAATTGCAAATTACAATTATTTCTTCTAATTTATAAAACCAAAAAAAAATATCTAAATTAATATCAAGTATATCTGGCAAAGAATTATCTGTGTGTGGAACATATATCTTCTGATTTAACAGCTAGAAGAGGTTAATTAAATTCGCGAGAAGGAGGTGATTGAGCGGCGGCTAACAGAAAGTTTAGTGAATTAACTGGATCGGTGAAGTGACCGGAAGCAAGTCGAGTAAATCAAGTGTGCCGCAAAGGAATCAGCGATAGGAGCGCGGCGTTCGTGAAAGAACGTACCGTTGAGCGGCGAAAAAATATCGTTTTCATTCATGCGGTGTTATCTGGCGGTGTGTTTCTTTCGTGGAGCCACGCCCTTGTTGGCTGTCGAGTCACGGTCTACGAAGCCCAATTCGCGACTCCTTTCGCGGAAAAGGAAAAGGAGGCCCTCGCGACCGCATAATCGACTGCTATCACGCGATCTTTAAATGCATTATGCATGCCAGCCGCCGCGTCCGAACGCGGAGAAACAGGGGGCGAAAGAGAGACGGATGTACGCGAACACGGGTAATTAGGAATCGTTGCAGGGATCTTGTACAGATACAGTGTCTGCAGTAATTAGGCTAAACCATGGTTTTGAAACGGAGAATTACGCGATATTGCGTAAATACATGCGATATCGAGAAAATTGATGTTTATTTAGATGAATAGGCGATCGAGTTAGCGACTTAGCGCTATGGATGACGGTCATAATTGGTATTTTGGGATTTTGAGATTTTGGGGTTGCTAGAATTTTGGGATTTTAGGGTTGTAGGGTGATGGGTTGTCAAGGTTTTCGGGTTTTGGAATTTTGGGATTTTGGGATTTTGGGATTTTGGGATTTTGGGATTTTGGGATTTGTGGATTTGTGGATTTTGGGATTTGGGGATTTGGGGATTTAGGGATTTGTGGATTTTTGGATTTTGAGATTTGGGGATTTGGGGATTTGAGAACTTGTAGAATTGGGGATTTGAGGATTTTGAGATTTGGGGATTTGAGGAGTTATAGAATTGGGGATTTAGGGATTTTGAAATTTATAGATTTGGGGATTTGTGAATATGGTGATTTCCTGATTTGGGGATTTGGAGATTTTGAGGCTTTAGGGTTTTAGGGTGTTAGAATATGGGAGTTTTAGGATTTAAAAATTTGGAAACTTTGAAATTTTGAATCTTCAAGGTTTTAGAATGTTAGAGTGTCAGAGTTTTTGGATTTTGGAATTTTGAGGTTTTAGGGTATTGTGGTTTTAGAGCATGAGAGTACTAAAATTCTTTTAGGATCTTGAAATTTTAGAATTTTGCAATTTTCTAGTTTTAGGACTTTCAGAATTGAGAATCTTGGAATTTTGGGATTTTAGGGTGTTCGATTGTGAGGGTTTTGTAACTTGAGGATTTTAAGTTTTTTTAAGATTTCAGGATTTTATAATTTTATAATTTTTTTGAACTTTGGAATTATTGAAATTTAGAAATTATATATTTTAGAATTTTTTAATCGTTTTAAAATTTAATGACTATGAGATCACTAAAATTTTTGCCTCTTGAAATTTTAGGAATTCTCGATGCATATTAAGTATTTTAAATTTTGAAACTGTGAAATTTTAAAATTTTAAAATTTTTGTGTTTCTGAACTTTTGAACATCGAATTTTTTGGTTTCAGAAACAATTCAAATATTGAATAGATATTTGCAAAAATTGTTTCTTACTTAATTTTGTATATGAATTACATTTGATTTCATTCTATAACAATAGCCAAGAAATCTAAATGCATTCTATATTTTGCAACTACATGCAGTACAAGCAGTTTTAATTTATATAGCCCATTTGTAAGTCTTAATAAATTAATTATAATGTACACTGAAAGTTTCTGTGAGTCTCAGAATTAGTCATAATTTATATTCAAGATGAATGAGGTACGCTAAAATTATAGATACTTCAAAACATTTGAAAATTAGATCAGAGCCATAAATTATGTTTTAAAGTACGAAACAAAATTTGCAACAAAATCTCAGCTGTACCTAACGCGTAAACTCTCGCGGGTATTATCACTATAATTTACCAGTTCTTGTCGGTGAATTATATTCGTAATATTTATGTCTCGTGCAAGATGAAGTTCTCGGAAGAAGTTGCAGCCCTGTATTATTTATACGTTAATAATAATGATTAAGAACTTGTGACGACGATTATAAATTTCCTTAAGCTCCCTTAATCGCGGACACCATGGTGGAAAAGTTGTTCGAAAAATATTCAGGAAAATTATAAAGTTAATCGAGTAATCCTCTTACGTTGCTCTTCGTACAATATCGTGATAAAGTAAGTATAAAAATATTCGTAAATACGATATTAAAATCAGGACGAGATACGATCGATAAGCGAGAGATAAATTTCGTATGAATATTCAGGATGAAGAAATTAGTAAACAGGAAAGAAGATTCGTATCCAGAAAACACCCTACTGTAATTAAACAGGCTGATTAATTATTCAATTCAGATGGTAACTGTCATTAAGATCGACGAAATATAGAGTTGATTAACGAAAGAGTTTGTTATTAGAGTTTCTAGATTGTAAACACCTTCGAGAGGAACAAACGATTCTTATCAATTTACACGAGAATCATTATCCACCTTCGAACGAGCCACGAACACGATCCTTATTTTTCGTGTATCGCATAAAGCATCGCGTTTTATCGTATAGAGTCAAAGAGAAGCTTAAAAAGCATATATTTTCGTGGAATATTCACCGTAACTTCCTCGAACGAGCACTCGTCTCTGAATATGCAAATCGAAGACATTTGTCAGCAACGTTCAAGATATTCACGCATTAATCCGCCAGCACTTCCTGTTCCTTGACGGTTCTCGACGTTCCGTTATTTCGTAATGCGTTTCAAAAAGATTCGACAGAATCTACTGACCATAATGCTCGAGCATAGTCTTTTCTAGGGAATAGATCTTGTCGATATTGCTAAAATTATTTGTTGCATGTTTTGATCAAGATGGACGCTTGTAAGTTTGCAGATATACAGTAGGTACGTAGGTACAGTAGGATTTTTTTATATGGTCACAATTTACATTACTGGTCAACTTTCAATTTTTCGAATTGGAAAATTTAGTCATTTGGAAGTTTTAAAATTTTATGTGTAACATGTATGGAAATTTGGAAATTCAAGAATTCTTAGAAATTTACAAATTTACAAATTTTTGGTCCAGTAATTTTAACATTTAGGTTCACATGCTTAGAAAATTTTAAACCTGAAAACTTACAAACTTGAAAAATTGCAATTTTGATATACAATATACCTTTAAAAAATTTTTAAATTTGTGAATTTAAAAATTAGAGTAGAAGAGACTGTAATATCTTGCATCTAATGTTTAACTCATTGACACCACCTGAAGAATCGATAGCCAGAAGCGATAAATCTCCAGAGTCGAAATCCTTGAACAAGATCGTTCGTCCTTGCAAATTCGTGAATTACGTGGTGTCGCCAGTATGGAAATTAGCTCGATTGCATGGCAGTCTCGTGTTTCATAAAAGTACAGCAAGGTTCGTGGTTCGCGTTTTCTTGATCTTTTTACGAGCTACTTTCCACTCCGCGTTTCTTTCTTTTAATTTTTTGCAACGTTGGCTGCCGTGTTTATGGTTGCTTTAAAATAAACGTAAATAATAATGTTTTACTACTATTTATTTAAAATATTATGACTTAATTTACGAGGCCATTCTATGAACCTGAAATACGGTCGCCATTATTTAAAGCTGACGTCTTCACGATAAATCGTTGCATATCAAAGTAGTTTATTTTTAATTATTTTAGTGGTTTAATAAACCTGACACGGTTTGATAACCTAAAGATTTAAAGCTTAATTTTTAATTCAAACTCCGTTAAATGTTCACAAATGTCAATAACAGAAATTTGATAAATGTTTAATTATTATTTGTGAAGTATATGTTTGTTTCACGTAAAACTCATTGAAGGGCTATTTTCACCTAACATTTTGCATTCTCCTGCTTCAGTTTCTCATCGTTAGTATCTGTGCTGTTTATTCTATTTATTCACAACGGAAATGCTGAATCAAGAGCTTTAATTATTCCTGCATTTTAATGCCTTTAATTCTCACTTTCATTAATTCATAATTAGCCGGGGCAAAAAAACTGTTGAATTTCGTTAACGCCTTAACTACCACGATAAAAATGGTACGTAGTAAACACCATTTAATATCCTCTGAAGATACATTAGTTTAATTTTTCAATTTAAGCTTCCTGTTTCCTGTATTATCTATTTACGTGCTACTAAGTAGACTTCAAATCCGTTCTACATTTCTTTCGTTTTGCTACAAATATTAGTATAACAATTGTATCAAACTAATTCAATTATTTTTATCAACTTTCCAAACTTCATAGGATTATGGGTCTATTAAATATTTTAGTATACTACATAAGTTTAAAAAATTATTTGAATTATTAGGGGTACCGCAAAATAATCAAAATTTTGTTTGCTGGCGAAAAATATTTATTTATAAAAGAAATCTTAAATCAACAAAATAATTTCCATCATTGTTTAACGCTTTTTGCCAGCGATTTTTCATAGAAAAACTTTGAAATCGTCGAAGAAATTTTGAATACTTTTTGGTACCTCTAATAAATGTACAATAAAGATCCAAATTAAACTGCAGGCACTGTTAAATTACTAGAAATAACCAATAGACCTATTATAGAACTTAAAAGATTCACGCTATTATCGTTAAATACCAGTTCCGAAGATAATAGTGTTGCGATAATTCACGATTTATCGAGGGATTAAAATATTTGCGCCGCGTTTGACGAACGCGAAACCGCCATTTTACTCGGTTGGCGTAATTCGTAATGGCCGTACAGCACTTAAGTCGGGCATAATTGGATGGCCAACGCGTTGCGAGCGAAATAATTCGCCGGTTGCTACAGATACCGAGCAATTATCAATACTCGGTCGATCGAACACATACATATTCGTATAGAGAATCGGAATCGTGCAATCAGTGTATTTCAAAGAGTCCCGACGTCAAATTGGCTCCGACGTTTTCCAGTTTTCTTCTCTTTATTCGACGTCGTCGTATTTCTTCGAGTTTCACCGCGATAATGCACTTTCCGATTTTTCACCGAGGTGAACATCAAGTAACGTTCGTTCTCTTTCGTCCGTGTTATCCTTTTTCTTCCACCGTGCGCCGCTTCGTTTTTCTGTTCGCTCGATTTTTTCTTCCCTCTCTTTTTCCTCGAATCTCCAGCAGGCTGTAAAATCTCGATGCGACTACCGAGCCTCGGGAAATTGAATTTCGTGTGCCGCTGGTGAACTGGAATTCAATTATTAGTAATACAGTCGAGCCGCGATTGAAAAAGAATGATAGAGCGGGCAAAAGCGGAGTGAAACAGTGGATGGAGCCGGAGAATGAAACGAGGGAGAGGGATAATAGAGACGGAACAGTGAATGCGAGCCGACGAAAATTCGTCGTGTAAAATTAATCGCAGCTTTAATTACCAGTTTCCACCTAATTAAACCCGATAAATGATCTTCACTCAGAAAAATGGGTCGGCCAGAGTTATTGTTCCGATGCGAAATTGTCGGCTCGGATTTCCTTGCAGAATTTTAGAACAAAGAGAACGAATCGCCGTAATTAGATCGTCGTATAACCATCCGTGGGCAGAACATGTGCCCAGAACCTCTCAGGGGCAAACCTCACGAGATCAACTGTTGCGGATACCCACTTTACATTTTCCTATTTTACACGTTCACAGATTTAGAAATTTAGACTTTTATAAAATTTAAAGTTTTAGAATTTATATATTGAAATTTAAATTGAAAATTTTGGATCTAGTAATTTATGGATTGTAAAGTTTTTACATTAAAAAAAAATCTTTTCCCATTATATTTCCCATTATATTTGTAAACGTAATGTTCTCTTCAAGAAAATTTTATACAATTTTGTAATAAAGTGTAACATGTCCGTTTTAATAAAAAACACATGCTCATAGGATGATTTAATCGAACGCGAAACGAAGTTGATAATTAACGAGTCCCTACGGCGTGTCGACGATGCTTAACGTTGAAAACAAAAGCACTGGCAGTATCTCTTGCTGTTCCTGATCTTCCTACGCCGAGCGAACTTCCGGGTGGCTTGTTCGCTTTTGCACGTGCTTGCACTTTAGATGCACCGTTAGAACATAAGGAATTCTGCTCGATTCTCCTCGCGATTCCATAACAAACGTGTTAAAGAGAATTATTTTGATCCTTCGACAAAGAATACATGAACGAAAATCGTAAACTTCCATGTTTTGCATCATTTGTTTCTCACAGAAGGTTGTTACAGAGTGTACAAAATACTTTATTATCGGATATTAAAGAATTCAGTGTATACTATAATTATTTATTAATAAATTAGTTACTTCATGAATGGTATCAACATGTAAATACATATATGTACATATTGCTATACATTAATTACACACTAATGTATTCAATTAGTCAATTCTTGATTTGATGAATCCTGTAATCGGTACATTAGTGAACTAATAATTTAAATGTTATAATCATGCATCCTTATAATGTAATACTATAATAGTATTAAAACAGCTGTTATTTTTGTGTCTCTCAACCTGTCATTTCAAAATATAATTTTATCTCAAGGTCCCAGTCATTGGACATTCACTCGTATTTAGAGTTAACAAAAAAATTTGTTGATAACATGTATATCATTCTCTCGATGCAAATTAATTGAGCCCATTTCACAACGTACATTTGGTTCATTAAAAACAGGGCCTAAGTTTCGCCCAATGAAAGAGGTAGGCTGACTCTCATCCAAGAACCACTCCCGAGACCCAACAATGCGGCTGGACGGTGCTGTATTATTATAATAAATGGTTGCGTGTTGCTTGTCTGTTGCAGAAAAATTGCTGAACAGCGAGGGCCGCGAGTTGCGACGGGCTCTGTTCTCCCTCAAGCAGATCTTTCAGGTGAGTTTATAATTCGCGATAGCTACGTGAACACGGCTATAAAGTGAGACGGTGCGATCGGGAAGAGTAAACAAGCGGGAGAAAGAGGAAGATAGGAAGGGAATAACAGGGAATCGCGAAAAGGGAAGAAAGAGAAAGAGGGTGGCCCGCGTCGGAGAGAGAAAAAGAGCAAACGAAAGAGAAGAGGAGACAGACAGGGGCTATTTTTACGCGAAGCTACTCGCTCGACGAGTAAATATTTGCATGGCGGTTTGAGCGAGTGCATTTTCTCTCTCGCTTTTTCGCCTTCGCGGCCGTCTCTGTCCTCCTCCTCTCGATAACCGCAGCCCTTTGTCTCGCATGTTCGTTATTCCTCGCGCGTACAATGAATTCTAACACGATGCTGGCCGTGACATCCTTCGCGACAGCCGAATATTCCCGTGCACGACAACGCGACGTTATCGAGAAGGGGTGTGTACGTGTGAAATTTCGCTGTTTCGACCGGTGATGGGATTTCCTTTTTTTCCGTCGATGAAAAATATTTGTGCCCTCTGGAAACGTCGTTCGTGCGTCGGATTCGATATTTCGCGTCGGATCGGCGGAAATTTCAAACGGTTTGACCGATTGGTTCGCTCCGAAAGATGTAAATTTACAGCAACGGAAGAAATATTGTGTCGATCATTTTTTTATTTCTTCAGAACCGTAGAGATAAATTGAGTTTGCCCGAACGAGGTCGGGGAAAATCAAACGTGCAGTTTAGCTATTTTGGAATTTGGATATTTTAGACTTTAACTATTTAGGTATTTTAAGATGTGAAGATTTAGAAATTTCAGCTTCTGATGGATTCTTATTAAATCCATATTAAGGTCCTACAAAGCAGTTAGAGACAATGAAGTTTATTCACCCTTGCATTATTTTGACGTGTCACTCATTCTTCAAATGTAATTAATTTTGCTGTAGCTTTTAATACAGTGACATCAAGCCCAAAATTTGCAGAGTCAATGACTGCATAATACCAAATAGAACATGTCAGCTTTCTTTGCTTTAGTATCGTAGAATTAGCTCTCACTGACGCGCCTGACAAATAAATCACATCACCAGGTTAAACAAGTGAAGTCATGTGACCACTTAAGTTTAACTACCAAGTTTGTACAGCTACAAACTAATGCTACATTCTTACATAACTTACAACATAAATCTCTTTTTACTTATCCAAACAAAAATATTTTCATTCAGAGAGAACATAAATACATCACGTGCAACGAAAAGTTACATAAAACTTTTACCGTCAATAAAAACGTGTCAGTTTCTTTCTTGGTTTCTTCCAATCAGAGCAGGAACTAATCACGTAAAACCGAATTCGTTCGGAGAACTCGAATGGTTTCGACCCTCGCCATTCTTCCGCTGTTCGCAATGCAGGAGCTTGTTTATTCGAGTCGGAGTTTTCTTTATTGTGTTACTCGTAATTAGATCTGGCAATTAGCCGGTCGGAAGAAAAATTTTTCTCCGCAATGTTCGCTCGGCGAAGCTTGAGAAACCTTCGGTTAAAGGAAATCCCATTATACCGGAAGCTATCGTTCTTGCCGCGTAAATGATGGATGAGTTTATTGTTGAATTATATTAGAATCGTGATAAATGGAGCGGACGTCAAACAGCGTCAAGCGTGTTATTAGCCGAGGGTTCGCCGTGATTGTTTTATCGATAGACGATCGTTTTCGACCAACTGTTTTTATTCCTTATATATTGTTTTCCTAATTCACACGTGGAGGCATTGTTTAACCGTTCGTTGTTAACCGTCGTTAAATTCGATACTCGTTAAGTTTGTTCAGCGATAATCGATGCATCGATGACGCGTTTTCGTCGACAATGCTGCACGTCGTTAATCGTAACGCTAGTGAAATTCAATAATGGTAATGTTGAACAATATTATCCTGCGCTTTGGCTCCGCGTTTATTATTTGCCCTGTTAACAGGAATATTAGATTACCGTTACGTTATGGGCTAGTTTGTAGACAAAATCAAATTGTATTTACTAATCTAATGGAAAACAAATGAAACGGTAATTACGTCGTTATTTGGACCGACGGTTTATTTGGCCGATTAATATTGTCCGGTTCAGTGCTGTGCAACTGAATGTAACTTGCTGTGATGAACAGAAGGACAATGTAATTAGTGGGTATAATAGATTCCACACTTTGAACTGTGCAAATAGTTACTTTTATATATTTTAGAATGTTGCAATTTTTGAACTTTAAAATCATGTATTAGAATTTTTTAAAATAAACCTTAGCTCGCAAAGGATGACCTCAAACCTTCAAGAAAGTTTATTTCAAATATTTAATTCAAAATAACAGAAAAATGTTTACATATCCCTGTGTTTCTAATTTGACAATAGGAACCTATTAATTCTCATTACATAGAACTTAAAGTCCAAGTATCATGCGTCGCCAACTCTCCGGACCAAATTCCTGTCAATACAAAACCTCCTCAATACAAAACCTTTATATTTCGAATCAGACACATCGTTAAAGTTAAATTCAACATCCTTTGAATTGAAAAACGATACTATCAAGTCCGTAAACGAATAGTCCTCGAATTCTTCCCTCGACACCTTATCGTTTCAATTATCAGGCTGACTAGCCGTGAAATTAATTACAATGCTCCGTCCTCTACGGAGAGATCCTCTGTCTGTCCAGGTTCCCGAAATGAGTCTGTTCTGTTCGCAGGACGGATTTATCGGGTGAATCGCTGCCGCAACGTTTAATTTCGTTTCTTAATCCTTGGAGCCGAGTTAATCGGCTCTGCGTTTCAGGTTCGAGGCTAAAATTTCCGGTGCTTCTGCAACGCTCGTCCAAAGTCTGGCCGCAAACAACGGACCTCGAGATATATCGCGAGATTGGGCCTCATACTTGGTCCTCGAGCAGGGTTACTCGAAAGCGGAGGGTTTAATCAAACTTCCTAGATTTTCCATTATGCCCGCGACTTCGCGCCATAACTAATTCCATTTACCTCTTCCGGGCTGCGGATGGCTTAGCCGGAGACCCGGAGATAAATCGCGCGGCTCCTGAACTCCTTCGGGATCGGATATCTGCGACTCTGTGCCGTCTCGTTCCTCTTATCATCGGCTCCTTTGCACACCGGAAATTTTGTAACTGATAATCTCTGTGATCTCTCATATTTTATGTGTGATCCATGAACGGTGCTACTGGGTTAATTCTATTTTGGAAATTTGGTAAGGGAAGTTTAATTGGTAGTTAATTTTCTGCTTTGAGCATTCGTTTTGCGATTTGGATTAGTAGATTGTGTAGGACAATGTAGCAATATTTCATATTACGAAGTTTGCAAACTACTAAATAGTCAATACAAAAATGTTCAAATTATCAAGCTTGCAAATTGTGAAATTATCAAGTGCTCAAATCACAAAATTTTTAAAAAGTCAAGTGTTAAATTTTCAAATGTTCAAAGTATGAAATTTCTGAATTTTCGAAGTGCCAAATCTTCAAATGTTCGAATCACAAAATTTTCAAAAACACAAGTGCCAAATTCTCAAATGTTTAAATCACCAAATTTCTAAATATCCATAGTACCAAATTTCCAAGTGTTTAAATCACAAAATTTTCAAAAACCCAAGTGCCAAATTCTCAAATATTCAAATCACCAAATTTCTAAATATCCAAAGTGCCAAATTTTCAAATGTTCGAATCACAAAATTTTCAAAAACCCAAGTGCCAAGTTCTCAAATGTTCAAACCACCAAATTTTTAAATATCCAAAGTGTTAAATTTCCAAGTATACCAATCAGAAAATTTCCAAAAACCCAAGTGCCAAATTCTCAAATGTTCAAACCACCAAATTTCTAAATATCCAAAGTGCCAAATTTCCAAGTGTTCAAATCACAAAATTTCCCAAAACCCAAGTGCCAAATTTTCAAACATTCATACCACCAAATTTCTAAATATCCATAGTACCAAATTTCCAAGTGTTCAAATCACAAAATTTCCAAAAACCCAAGTGCCAAATTTTCAAACATTCAAAGTACCTTTCTAAATAACCAAAATACTAAATTGCCAAATTTCCAAATTAAAATTATTTGAAACCTAAACTAAGCTAATTCTGCAACAGCTCGTTTCCTCCATGTCCATGTGACGATTAAAATATTATCGAATAGACTAGTCTTCCGATAATAAAAGGCACAATTTATTTTTGCCCCACTTATACCAACGATTTATTAATTTCGGTTCAGCCGGAATCAGATGCAACAATTCTTTGTTCGAATGCGAAATACATAAAGGATAATTGTCTGCGGATGAGTAATCGTCATTTGATACGACGAACAAGAGTTATTGGAAACAGTATTCTGTTTTAAAGAGGTCGTTCGTTACATGGTAATTGAGAGACGTATTATGTCGATTATTGGGCAATTTGTATGGTGTTTTATCTTTAATGCTCCGGACGCTTGTTATTTCGTACTTGAATAGCGTATCATATTGATTACTAGGTAATTGTATGGTTCTTCATCATCGTTAATTTGTTTTGCCGATTTTTTTTATTGACTGCCATATATTACCTGATCATTGGGCGATGGTATACTTGTGTATATAAAACGATTCGAATCACGAATCTTATATACGAATATTTGTATTACTATTGCAAATTTTGGAAATAATAACTCTTTTATTTTTACTCCAGTTATTATTTATATTCCAAATTATTTTTATATTTTTAATTATTCAGTAACTGTACTATTTAATGACTGTACAAATTTTTACGACATATGTGTACATATGTGTATTAATAATATTCTTCCTAATGTAATAATAATTAATTTTAATAGTCACATTGGGTGAACCATCATAATTTGCATTGAAACAGATATGACAAAAGCTCAAATTGATTTATAAAAAGAAATTTTTGAAACATTGATCTGTCCAATGATCCCTTTTTATCCAGAAGCTTTGTTTTCAAAATATTTATTTAACATCAATAATACCGGAGATATTTGAAACGATAGTAGTTATTGATAGTCTGTGGATGTTTATACATTTATATTACATCAAAGCCTGTAAAATATACGTCCATATATTCTGTATAGAAATCCGCGGTCTATAGATTACATGATTTATGTGGGACTCTGCAGACTTCGGTGTATTATAAATACGTAAACATTCGCTGTCCGTTGTATTATTTTATATTTTATATCTTTTTCAACTGTTTCGCTACTTTCTAAATATAGCACTGAATAAATAAAATACTGTTACTTTCTCAACATTTCGATTAAAATCATGGTCTATAGACTACTTTCACGTTGTGAATTTTATTCATCCTACAAACGCTATTTATAGAATATAATAAAAATTTGACAAGATTATAAAGCATCGATATTTATTACTTGATACGTAAAAATAGTTCAAATACTCGGTTTTCGCGAAAAGCACCCGTTTCAGTTGTAACGTCCTGTAATTTTAGATTATTTAGATAATTGCGCATCTCAAAGCGTTAAATTAACAGCGAATAAATTCGAAATAGAGGAGAATTAACCGTGTAACCGGTATTTATATCAACAGAAGTGGTATTTACCATAGACTTTGCTTTTGCAGGAGGACAAAGACCTGGTGCACGAGTTTGTACAAAATGACGGGCTTGCCTGTCTCATCAAGGTTGGCAGCGAGGCCGACCAGAATTACCAAAATTACATACTACGAGGTGAGTATACTGACAATTTGTCGATAAACTACAACGTGTTCCGTGCATAGCGTTGCTTAGGCTTCTGAATGACGTATGTAAGATGTACTCAAACTGTGACAGTGTTTCTCAACCGTTTCCATCACTTTCCCTTACATCATTATTAAGTAATTATTAAGTCATTCAAATATTTGGCAAATTGAAGTTGCACACTTTTTAAAATATTTTGGAAAAACATTTCATAAATGATTTTATGAAATTCATTTCATAAATTCAACTGTGTTTATTGTATGCAAAATGAAGCTGCAGTCGTATAAATAAATTAAGGGCATTTTAATCTTGACCAACAATTAATTGAGATGATTATTGATTTCTAATGTTGGACTAATACCTAAAATTAACTAAAGTCCACCTTACTTATTAAATTCTTTTACTAACTGAATGTTGTGACCAAATCAAATGTGGTCACTAACCTAACCTAAAAAGGTGTCAAGTATTAAAGTATACAAAGGTCTTAGGTATTAACAAGAAATTGTTTACTGTAAAATATGAAGCATAAAACTAGTCGTTCAGTACCAAACTTTGATACTGAAAATTTGTATCAAACGAATCTAACCTAAATGGTGTCAAGTATTAAAGTATATAAATGTCTTAAGTATTAAAAAAAATTGTTTACTATAAAATGTGAAGCATGAACGTCGTTCAGTACCAAACTTTGATACTGAAAATTTGTATCAAACTTGATAGTTAAAAGTTAGGTGTACCTGCAGATCCTATGATGATAACTTGACTTAATTTTGGAACAAGAAATGAATAATAAATATTTTTGTGACCGACTATACCAATTTTGAAGAACGATACGAGACAGCTGGAAACTGGACGCCGTTAAATGATCGGTTCCGCAAAATCTTCAAAACCCCCATAGCGATTGGTATCAGCTATCACGTTGTTGCTCGTCACGTTTCGCGTCGAAAGCGATTCAAAGTAATCGATAGCCGTCGACGTGGCTCGGAAAAACGGTCGAAAGAAAGCCCGTCGGCAAACAGAGCACGGCTAATGCGGATCCACGTTGGTATCAGTTCCATTCTATCGGAATTAGCGTTCATGGGGTCGAGCGTGATCCATAATAGCGCGAGTGCACTCGCTTCGAGATTTCTTCGGCGAACATGGGGGCGTCGCGTCGCACGTCTGCGACGCTCCCTCGTAAACACCGATAAGATAATAGCGTCGTAATGCAGCTAACACCTAACGAGAGGAGCATCAACGGCTCCGGGAAACCGAGGGTGAAACTAGAAGAGCAAGTTATTTCCTTTTTCCACAGTTTCTTTTCGACGATCCTGTAGATAAAAGTGCCTTTTCGATGATGAAAGATTTCGGGAACACTCGCCACGAAATTAGAATCATTTATTTTTATCTTCTGTCATTCTCTCACTTTACTGGTCCATTTTATATTTTACTATTTCGTTATTTTTATTAGTCTCGACCACTCACTGTTTTTATTTTTTACTACTTTTTTATTGATACATTATGGTTTACTGTTTTGTCATTTGCCTGCTATTACTGTTACTTCGTTATTTCATTATGCTACTATTTTTATTTGTTTTATTACTTCGATGTATTTTTATACTGCCATTTAGTTGGCGCTTGAAATGGTGCAAAGGACAAATATTCCTATGAGAGCTTGCTTCTTTACTGGTTTATTGTTTTACCTCTGTTTCAGAATTTTTACCATTTTATTACTTTATTATAATCTTCTACATTTTTACGATTTCATGATTTCTATCTTTTTATCGTTTTATTCTGATATTTTATTATTCTACCGGTTCATGAAATTTTTCCTACAACTTCATTATCCTTCTCTTCATTATACTTTCATGTTGTAAGTATTTGTAAAATCATCATTTAAAATAATGTTCAATAAAAAGTCAACGATCGTACGTCGCTGGTTAAACTGTCTTACAATTAGAGAAGTCAAGTGTTAAACTCTTTGACGGCACATTTAGCATACATATTAAAATGCATATCTCGAAGTATATTTATTTAACTCATAAACACTATCAGAACATTTTCGCGTATCTACCTATGTACTCTGTGTGAAACTGGTGTCGGTATGACGGAAGATAGACGTCTTAGCACGCTGCTGGAACTGTTCCGTGAAAGCTGGTTGTTTACAAAAGCAGCGCGTGTAAGCGGTTACTCGCGGTTCTGCGAAACCGCGACGCGTAGCAGATTATGAATGCACCCTTTGATCGCGTTTCGAGTGCTTCGCCGCGGCGCTCGCTGGCTCGAGTGCTTTGTAAACCTCCGTCGAACGAACAACGCGCAAGAAGACCAATTCTCTCGTCGTTGCTTGGACTAGTTGCAACGCAACCCACTTGTACATACAACCTGATCTTTCTCTCCCTTTCTCCGTTGCTTCGCTCTTTCCCGCCATAGGTAACGAACGGAACCGCCTCTTGTCTTCGATCTTCCGAGATTTCGAGTGCATTGTATACCGAACGAGTCCTACGGGAACTCCACGAGTTCAACTTCTGCTTCGAGAAAAACGGTACTACGGTTTCCTTCGGGGATAGGACTCATTTTTGTCATAGGTCGATCGATCATGTGGATATTTTCATTTTTTTTTTATGTAGTTTGGAGTTAATGAGAGCAGTTATACCCGATGTAGTTTCTCGTTGTGATTGCATGTCTTTGTTTGAAGACACAAAGAACTAATGTCCACATGATATTGAAAAATGTCGCTTCATCGGATTTTTATAAATAACCTCAAAATTTTTGACAGCTCCTCCATAGAACAGTTCCTTAAACTTCATTGGATGTGTCAGAAAAAAAATTGCTTCCATAAGAAACTTTGATAATTTTCCAACTCGATGCAAGATAATAAATACGAGTATTAGGTTGAAATAATAGAATCTGATGTAAACGAGTCATGGTTAAATTATGAAACACACTTGGTTCAATTTTTCGCCTCGATAGTTCAAAAACGAATTAGACCGACGGTGGTTGATGGAGGTCCTTTTACGAGCATTTCCAGCTCGGAGAAGGAGCGAGTGGCGCAGACAAGAAGCTCAGCGGTTGTCCAACCGAGTCAATTAAGATTAAGCGAATATTGAGCAAGCAGGCGGGCAGGCAAGCAAGCAAGCGGTTCCGATAAGCGTCAGGAGTGGCAGATAAGGTAATTCATAAAACAATTTGGCAGTTAGGTTTATCTTGCGCATAAATCAAGCAGCGTTTCACGGTGTCGCCGGTTGGAAAGGCCACTCGGGAGGGTAATGTTAACTGTCTAATTTAAGGGGAGCTCATTGCGCATTCCTTATCTCCGGGTAAACAGGAAATTTATTAGGAGCAAGCTCCAGCGAACATCCAGCCTTATAATCCATCGTTGGGGAACGGTAGAGACTGTTGCCGACGGTTTTAGTGTTGTCAGACTCGCTTGATTACAACGATGCTACGCTTTGCTATTAGCTCATTAAAGTGCCGACGCTCCAACAGTTTCAGTTTGTTGGGCTAACGTTTCAATGGTAACTTTGATAAGATGTTTCACTGTGACTTCAGGCAAAATCGACGCTGAACCACGAATCTCTTCGTCCTGGGAGAAATTGTATTATATCTCGCTTACCTGATAGTTGGTCAATTTGGATTCATTTTATGGGTGGTGCTGATAGTCGTTGCTGATTGGATTATCGAAAATGTTTGGTTGGAATGTGGGAATTTTGAAATTTGTTAGTTTGATCATTTTGTATTATGGTAATAAGGCAATCTTGTAGTGTAACAGTATGATAATATGACAATGTAATAAGAATATGACAATGTGACAATGTGACTGTGTGACAATGTGAGTATGTGACAATGTGAGTATGCGACAATGTGAGTATGTGACAATGTGAATATGTGACAATGTGAGTAGGTGACAATGTGAGTATGTGACAATGTCTGTATGTGACGATGTGACTGTGTGACAATGTGAGTGTGTGACAATGTGAGTATGTGACAATGTGAATATGTGACAATGTGACTATGTGACAGTGTAACTGTGTGACAATGTGAGTGTGTGACAATGTGACTATGTGACAATGTGAGCATGTGACAATGTGACTATGTGACAATATGAGAATATGGGAATGTGACAATATGAGAATATGACAATGTGACAATGTGGCAAAGTAACAATGTGAGAATGTGGGAATATGATAATGTGACAACGTGAAAATATGTTAATATGATGACTCGACAATACGACAATACGACAGTACAGTAGAATGATGGTATAATAGCACAACATGATAATATAGTAATTAGAACTTTTCCTCACGTTCAAATTTCCAAATCTCTTCATCTGCCTCTAACCATCAAATAATAATCACATTTTCCTATAATCACAAATTGTTATTTACATCAAATATTCATCATTCCTTGAACCATCCAATCCCTCTAATTATAATATTATTAAATCTGATTCTCACGTTGTATACGAAGCTACCGAACGATAATTAAGAACTAATTAAGAGTTAAACTAGTCGATCTGCAGTGATTTATTCATACGATATTAATGTAATTCAGACTCTGATTTCCCTTCTACTCTTTTTCGCTGTCCACAACGGCAACCAACATGTTAATCAGCAACAAAAAGTGTTTCTCTGTATTAAAGGTAGCGAACTAGGCTAAGAAATACGTAATTGAGGACGCGACCATAATTACGTTGCTACACGCGAACGAGGTACCTGCTATGGTAGCAAATTGCCATCATAAAACTATTAATAAATGCTTACACTCAACGAGGATAGAAGATGATTGCCATGAGATTAAATCTTTTGCTTGTCTGTCGTAAAAAGCAACAATAAGTCATGTAATTTCATTTTCTTGATTGATAGCACTTTGGTACGGAACGTAGACACACGTCGTTTGTAATTTTATTGTGCTTGTAGTCGATTATGTATAACTAATTGACTGGTCATTATAACTAATTTCTAATGTTCGATAAGGCTTATATACGTGTTTACACATTAGCTTTAATTACATTT